CTGCACTCGTTGTGATAGACGGTCCCCAGATATTTAGCAAATACTATGGAGAAACTGAGGCCACGTTAAGAAGTTTATTCAAGGATGCTGCCGAGAGAGCACCAAGCATTGTGTTCATTGATGAGATTGATGCTCTTTGTCCCAAACGTGAATCTGGTACCTCCAATCAAGAGGCAAGGGCGGTGGCCACACTTGTGTCTCTCATCGATTCATTGCCGCTCGTCGAAGACAAGTGGGTTTTAGTGCTGGGTGCCACAAACAGACCCAACTTTGTTGACCCATCCCTGCGACAGCCGGGCCGGCTTGACCGTGAAATTGAGATCGGTGTGCCCACAGCACACGGACGGCAGCAGATTCTTCAGAAAATACTGAGTAATGTCAATCACTCACTAAGCAACGAAGACATCACAGAAATAGCCGATGTTGCCCATGGTTTTACAGGAGCGGATTTAGCAGCTGTTTGTGCTGATGCTGCCCTGTGGGCTCTGGAAAGAAAGATTGCAAGTAAGAATGCTTCTGACGCCGCCTTGTCCAAAGTTGTGCAGTTGACAAAAGCCGATATGGCTACTGCACTGCGTCATACCAAGCCAAGTGCAATGCGTGAAGTTGCCTTGGAAATTCCGAAGGTGCGCTGGAGCGATATCGGAAGAATGAAGGAGGTGAAGCTGAAATTGCAGCAAGTCGTCGAATGGCCGTGGAAACATAGGGATGCCTTTATCCGCCTTGGAGTGACACCTCCATGTGGAGTGCTACTCTACGGTCCACCTGGCTGTTCAAAAACTATGATAGCCAAAGCACTGGCCACAGAGAGTGGCCTCAACTTCATTGCAATTAAGGGACCAGAACTGTTCAGCAAGTGGGTTGGTGACTCTGAGAAAGCTGTTCGAGATCTCTTTCGCAAAGCGAGAGCAGCATCGCCCTGCATCATATTTTTCGATGAGATAGACGCTCTGGCTGTGCACAGAGGAAGCACAAGTGGCAGCAGCAACGTGGGAGACCGTTTCATTGCCCAGCTGCTGACAGAAATGGATGGAATCGAGAAGCTGGAAGATGTCATCTTTGTAGCAGCTACAAATCGTCCAGACATGATTGACCAGGCCCTTATGCGACCTGGGAGATTGGACAGTATTGTGTATGTGCCACTGCCTGACTTTGACACAAGAAAGGAAATTCTGCACTTGAACCTTTCAAAAAAGCCTTTGGAAGATGATGTGAACATTGAAGCCCTCGCAAGTAAAACCAGTGGCTACTCTGGAGCAGAGGTGGTGGCCGTCTGCCAAGAAGCGGCGCTGCTCGCCCTCGAGGAAGACATCGATGCCACATGCATCGAGGGTCGGCACTTGGAAGTGGCACTGAAGCTCATCCAGCCGCGTATCTCGCCAGAGTCGGTGCAATTCTACGAGTCCTATTGGGCGTCTTCTCAGAACAGGCAGCACACTGCGATCGTGCCAAGACTCTTCGTCTTCCTCTGCTTCTCTTCTCTACCTTTTTCTAGTCTGTTACATTATGTATATTAATTCTGCTCATAAAATCGTCGATCTAAAAGTAGTTACATAAATATGTGTTGTTTGTTTGATTCGCTCCGACCGTGTCTTCTGTGTCTGTTCACTCCAAGAGCGTAGCGCTTTCCACATCGAGACCGCACAAGGCTCAGTGCACACCCCTATATGGCCACTTCAGAAAACGAAGCACTTTCGTCCAGTCACTTTGCGTTGAGAGTACAAGGTAGAAGGATATACCAGCTGTCTTTAATGCGTGTTGAAATAGCGAGTGCGCCAGCGATAACACCCTTAAAGTCAAAGTTCATATAACAAGCCCCCCCCCCCCCCCCCTCCCTCGTTGAGGTCTTAGTTCCTTCCTGCGCCTTGAAAACGGGCGACACGTTCCTCTTTGCTTGAGTAACAATCGATGGCAGGCCTGACACGCAGAGGGATATTATCACATCCGTCCTTCGTGCAAAGCAGATACATTATCGCATATGTTCTTCGTGCAAAGCAATAAAAACAAAATGGCTCTCGCCTTCAAGTTGTCTTAGTCGAATGCCCTTGAGTTTATTTTTTTTCTTTTTGCACTGCTTTTTAAAGGACACTATAGGGGGTCTTTGGTGTATAGACACCTAGCCACATAAAACACCACTACAAAAAAAAAAAATGCAGTTTTTTAAATCGTTCAGTTTCAGCACAGAGAGACGAGTGCCGGAGGATGTTGGCTTTATGAGACTAACTAAATGACGTAATGTCATGCCCAGCAATATAATCAGTTGGGAAGAAAATGAACCCTTTTTTTTTTTCATCCTTGAATTCATCTTAGAGAAATGCAGTTGGGATTGCGCGAGTCTGTAGCGTTTGTCTACCAGACCTGTTGATAATCACATGGGTGCATTCAGAATGTTATTTTATGAAGTACTATTTTATTCAACCAGTATTCTGTTTATTTACTACAAAAATAATCACTGAACAAGTTTTTATAGCATTCTCAACATTATTACAACGCTATTTTTGCATCAACTGAAATAGGCTGCTCCTAAGATTTCAGGCATCATGAGGTTTGCAATTAATCAAAATACTTTAGCTCTTCATAAGAACCCCAAAATAATTATTCATGTCCTTGAATGTAAATGCTACTTGCTTCTCCTTCAGGATGTAAAGTTAGCTGCTCAGGATCGCTCCGAAATGGAAATTTTGCTGCTCCAAAGTGCTCCAAAATAGAAAATTTTTCTGCTTCAAAGTTCTCCAAAATGGAAAATTTTGATGCTCCAAAGTGCACCAAAATGTAAATTTTGCTGCTCCAAAAATTGCTCCAAATCATTAGACCTCAGTAGCATCAGTGTATTCGCTTTTTGTCATGATATTCAACCTAACGAAAGTGTCTGCGCCACTGTTGTCTCCATTGATGGTTAAGCATGTCGTCAATGGCCTCTCTTATTTTTTAGAGGACTGGCGAAAGTGCATAAAGAAAGGTGACTTTTTGTGTGTGTGTGTGTGTGTGTGTGTGTGTGTGTGTGTGTGTGTGTGTGTGTGTGTGTGTGTGTGTGTGTGTGTGTGTGTGTGTGTGTGTGTGTGTGTTTCCGAGTCACTGCGAGTGCCGTACACAACATAGCCACCATGGCTGATGAGCAACAGGTATCAGCATTGCGGCCTATAAACGGCTTATTCACGCAAATGAATATTCGTCCGTGATATTTTGCAAAAATGTCGATGCTTCTTATTCACGGTACGGGATATTCTTTGGTGTGCCTATTGTAAAGTTAGAGAGGAGGTGCAAGTCAAAAAGTGCACGGTTTTTTCCAGAATAACATATTTTTCGCCTTTTATTTTCTTTCACAAAATTAGTTTCTTTACTTTCACGGCAAAAAAACCTAAGATTGTATTCAAACTCGAAGTCAATTGAAATTCGCTTTTAAAAGGCACAAGGTGGCTACTAAAACTAAGAAGAGCTCATTGTCTAAAGTCCGCTGGAAATTGTCTCCTGGCTGTTTGCCTTTGCATTTTCTCCGTTACCTGCTCCAAATTCAGATTTCAGTGCTCTAAAAGTAAGATTTCGCTGCTCCAAAAATTGCTCCAAATTCTATTTTGGCTGTTGCACCTCTGTAAGCTGTATAATATGTTTGAGCAGTGATGCTTGATTTCCTTGTTTCATTGATGAGCTTGCAATTATAATACATTTATCATCTCAATTTTGAATTGCCGTGAAACGATATGTCTTCCAGTAACAAAGATTCTTTTTTGTGTTTCTCTTTTGCACATTCCTGTTTAAATACGATTTCTTTCTACTCCTGTAATAGCCCTCCAAAAATGGCTGACAGTATCAATAAATGAAATGAAAAATATCCTACCACAGAGCCATGCCAGGTCATACAACTGTTCCGTATACACCGTAATGTTTGTGCAACATCAATTGTGGCTATCCAATCTTATAAATAGTGCATACGTACTCCTATTAAACAGCCGTCACGTACAACTGTTCCGTATACACCGTAATGTTTGTGTAACATCAATTGTGGCTATCCAATCTTATAAATAGTGCATACGTACTCCTATTATACAGCCGTCACGTCCGGTTATCGACAACTGTAGTGAAGTGCCGTGCACTGAATTTCATTTATCTGCAGTGTCCAGGGTCGCCATCCTCGCTGGCTGTAGTGAGTGCTACATATCAGCTTACCACTTCTGGTGTCACTAATACCCATGTTGTTGTTGGCATTGTTATGCAACAGTAAACATGCGGCTGTTTACATATGTCCATGCGTACAACATTTGTGCATATCTTTGGCATCATTTCGTAGTGTTTCACTCAATAAAAAATTTACACCGCTGTCACTACTTCCCTCTGCATACTTCATATAATGTATAACATCGATTGCAAAGGTACATGGTATTTACTGATCTTTTTTGCTTTTTCGAATAGACACAGACATTATTCTGTAAAGAAAAGGAACAAATTTTACTATACTAAGTACTTTGGTGCTTATTGTAAAGACGTCAGTGTAGATTTTCTGTACATTATTTGAAGTTTTTGTCCACCATTGAAGGTTCTGTTTTGATTTTTTCTGAAAACATTATGAACAGAATGTTGCTTTTCAAAAGAAGCCTTTACTCAGTTCTAAATGCAATGGTTTGAAACAAAAATGTTGGAACTAAGCTGCCAACTTAAAATCAGTTAGCTAAAGTTAGTAGAATTTGTGGAGTGAGGTAATACATGTCTGTTGCCTCTATGGTCTGGAACCTTCCACAATCCAGGGCATTCCAGAATGGTTTCTTTTATAAACAGTTCAGAACTGGTGCAAAGCCTTATTAGACACTTATAAAAAATGGTAAACTGAACATCACTTATGTGTCACTTATGTGCAGCCCTGCAGTCATGTTCTGAAAGAGTAAGCTTGAAATGTATATACTCCCTGTTGTAGGGCATTATTTTGGAAGAAACAGCTTGATGGCCATAGCCAGTCAAAGGCTTTTAAAGCACATTAAGTGGGTGCATTTTTTTATGCTTTCTTATAGATGCACGTGACTTATGGGTGTGCCGTGAGCTGGTCCGAAACCTGGATGCAGCTGCACCATCTCCTCCACCACCTTTGCCTCCTAAGGCCAAGCAGCGAGGACCCCCACCACGACCACCTTCTCGACCTCAGGGAGGCTACCTGTCAGATGACGAGGATCCGGGCTTAGCAGCCAAGCCTCTTGAGCATGGAGACTTTGTACACATCCCTGCCAAGACTTCCTTGACCAATCATGACTGCAACATCAGTTTCGTCTAAGATAGTAAGATTTCTGGGCTTGGTTTAGCTCCTGGTAATGGTGCTGATGATAAACTGGTGAAATTGTGCATACTTTTACGAACACAGCAAAGTTTAGCAAGACCGCTAACCAATAGGAGGAATACATCAAGTGAATGTCCTTTTGTAGTTCATGTGCTATGTAAAGAGGATGCGCTTTTTGCTTGAACTCTGACCTGCTTGTGGATTCTTGTTGGCGTTTGGCCTCAGTGGTGAAGCATAATTGAGGGACTGTATGCCACATTTCTGCAAACCATATTCCGAACTATTATGTGAACATTCATACATAAATTCATACATTATGCTAGCATGTTGAGCTAGTTTATATGAAATATTAGTGGCGGTGTTTGTAATATAAAAGTTTTAGGTGCAGTGCAGTATAATTACATCGGGAAATTCATAATAAGGTTCCCTTGTGGCGGCTTTAGTTGGTGCTGCAAATCTTCTTTTGTTAAGACCCACACACCCGAATTGCAGGCTAGTTGAGCACCTTTGCAATGCATTTTGTGAGGAACGCGAAAGACCACCCTACGTGCTGTATTTACTCTGTTCTAACATGCAGGAGGCCACAGGCATCTGCCTCGCCATTGCAGTAGCAGCTCCAATGCCCCCCAATTTTTTTTTTCTGAGCAACATGGTCACAGCAATGAAATTTTCATGATACGTGATTACTCTACAGTTATACTGCTTCCTTTAGAAGAGACTCTTGGTTTATACTATAAGAGACACCAGTGTGCTAACACTGAAATAGGGGTTGAACTGAAGATGCGGACATGGCACGCTACTTTCTTTTAAGAGACACCTTCTGTAAGGGACCAGAACTGCTCCCCGGTACAGGTCTCTTATAAAGGAGTTCAACAGTAATAGCTTTGCTTTGTCACTACCATGCACCCATATAAAAAAATGACATTGTATTACTTTTGCGAAAGCTGCATATCTGCCAAGTTTCCCAGATTGACCGGAAGACTCCCAGATTTTAGCCGTTTCTTCAGTTTGTACGGTTGTCATGAAAATCTACCAAAAATTGAAATTTCTTTGCATGATCTGTCCGCATTGACAAAAAAGCAGCTCAATTCACTCCAGGCTTTTCGAACCTACCCCATTTTATTATAGATTAATTTAAGAGGCGTTCACCTAAACCTACAGAATACGAATTTGTGAAATTCCTCAGCCTAATTTTATTATACTGATTGGGCCTAAATTCGAATGTTCCGAACACATTTCCTAATCGCGGCGGTTGACACAAACTTTAGTAAGAAAACCGTCGGACGAAGGCGAGAGCAAAGCTGCCGGCGCACGCACTTTCTTTTACAGTGCGTGTGATTGTCGTTGCCACGATTGCTGTGAACGAAACCGCGGTCGTTCTTCACACGATCATGTGCGGCGACGATGTAAATGACAGAACCCCAAAATGTGCGTGCGTCCAACACTCAATCAAAGCAACGCTGCTTTCCGCAAACTCTGAGGACAAAACCACAACAGATGCGATTGTAAATGGCATAAAATGACTTAGTTTTGAAGGCGCGTGCACAGCCAAGCACACGTAGATCGAAAAAGGAACTACATACCGTTTGCCGTAAGCGCCACGCACAACACTGGAGTCGCGGCGATGCGATAGCGGTCTAGTTTCGAAGGCATGCGTAATGCAGCGGTAGATTAAAGGCAGTAAATACATAAAAAAAGGCCAGACGCATTTTGCCATTCCTGCAAAAGAATCTAGTAGTTAGCAAAGCTTTGACCTGAGCTTTTGCGGCAGCCAGCTGCGCCATCCTGTCTGTTCACGTGTGTCCCAGGAAGACATACGCGAGTTGCTTTGACAGAAATAGATTCTGCTACTTGTGTTAATCCTTTGAGACTCTCACCATGGTGGGAAACCCTACCCTCGTGTGTTCGGCCGCTCCAAGCCACTATAAGACCGCAACGCTGATGTTGGCGCTTGCGACTGAGAACCCCACTCCCTCTTGGTTTTTGCGATTTTTGTTTGTTTGTTTGTCCTTGGGATTTTTTTTTTTTTGTAAAAAAAAACTGAAAATCTGGGAGATTTTGGTCGTAGAAATCTCCCAGATTCAGAATCCTCGAACTTGGCAGGTATGAAGTTTCATATCACAATCAAGGATTCACTTTTTTTCTGACCATGGTTGTTAATACTGCATTGCAATGGCATTCGTGTTAAAACTGAGAAAATACCGTATTTACTCGATTCTACCGCGCCCTCGATTGTAACGCGCACCCGATTTCCACCGCGAAAAAAAAAAAAAACGTAAGACATCAATTGCAACGCGCACCCATTTTTCTCGCCGGCCCGCACGATCACACCACTCGAAAAAACTACTCCTTTCGGGAGCGTATTCTATTTAAATATGAGGTACGGGCGAAGCTTGTGCCCATCTGACGTGTAACAGAGCATTGCCGTCACTGTAGTTTTACCGTGGACCGATGTCAGCACGCGAACTTGCTTCGCGCCCTTCTTCTCGACGGTTGTGGTGCCAGGCATGTCGAAGTAAAGAGGCGTCTGATGGGCATTCCCGATTTGCCCAAGCAGGTAGCCGTTGTTGCGCCGCAAGTTTAGGACGAACCTCTGAAAACTGTGAAGCTTTTCATCGTACTCCTCCGCAAAACTTTTCGCATATGCATGTTCCCCTTCGGAGGGAAAAGCCTTTCCTTTAAATAAAGTTAGTTAGCCAGCACCTGCTCGCTTTAAACTGGCTCTGCATTAGACCTTTTTCCAAGACTAATTGCATAGCCCGCACTTGGAGCAGTTCTGTCGTCACGGGCCGCTGTGCCGCTCGCTGCTCAAGCACATACTTGCCGAGCAGCTCTTTAATTTGCGGAAACCGACCCTGCTGTGGTCCACTGAAGCCTTTGCGTGAAGCTTTGCTGTCGAGAATCTTCTGCTTTTGTTTCCGCCGGTCCCGCACGCACGTTTCGGGAACTCCGAACGACCCCGATGCGGCCCGATTTCCGTCCGTTTCTGCACACGCTATAACTTTTCTTTTAAAAGCGGCATCGTGGTGCTATCGAGTTTTTGGAGTCGGCCCTTCCACGCCGTCGATGCTAATGCACTACTAGATGACGAACTCCTCAGCACACGTACGAAGTGCCGCACATGGGAAACACATAGGCAGAAATGGCCGACGCGCCATGCCGACGCACGTAGGGGGCGGCCATTTTGGATTTGCCGATGGCAATAGATTGACCGTAATTTTTTTGTTTGTACTCGATTCTAACGCGCATGCAATTTATAAACTCGCTTAACCGGAAAAAAGGTGCGCGTTAGATTCGAGTAATTACGGTATGCCATTTGGTATCCGTTTGACCTTTGTTTCTAATGAAAGAGCACACAATGTGGATTTGCCCCTCCCCCTTTTTTTTTTGCACAGGTCGGTGCAGTATCAGTTTAAAGGGACATGCTCTTCGGAAAACTTTTTCTTCAGATATTTGTGACAGCTCAATGAAACTTTTACCGGTTATAGAGTTCGAGCTCCTCTTTTCAAATCTGCTTTTATTTTTTTATAGTTCATTTAGTTCATTTTTTGCAAACCATGCACTTGTGGAAACAATGCATTTTTGTGCAAGCTTAAGGCAACAATTGTAAGCACAAGAAAGCTAATAAAATAGCAAATGTTGCTCCTAATGAATTGAGAAATTCAAAATTAAGCAAAGAAACATTGTGTAACATATATTTGCTGGCCTAGAAAAATATTCTAATGCCGAGTTTCAGTTTTATCATACTCGAGGAATATTGCAAGCTTTTGAAATTATCAAGCTGAATATACTTTGGAGACCTCTGAAAGTTGTTTATTTGAATTCAGGACATGTTAAACTTTAAGCATGCCAAGTTTCATTGCAATCCGACTGCATAAAGCGTACAAATTTTAGTGCACAATTTTAGTGCGGAATGCTTGCAACTAATGGTAGGGCTCTGATCGTACCACGTGACTTCAAAAGCCCACTTGCCATGCTAGAATGCAATGGGGAAACGATTTTTTTTTTTTTTTCAGCGCAAATGTCGCGCTGCCGAAGTGGGCTCTGGGAAAAGAGGGTTAGGCCTACATCCCCGCGGAATTTCAAGAGCCGGCGATGGTGCAGAGCGAAGTGCCGCGTGCGTGAAAATCGGGTAATTTCACACTTTTGCAAGCCACCACGAGTGCTTTAATTGTATTTTTCGAAAACGTCTAGTTAATTCTCAGCTTTGATTTTTTAATATTTGAGGTGAAGACTTGGAGGAATACAAAACACAAAATTGACTTTTGAAAAAAATCGTTTTTTTACCTGCATCTCCCCTTAATGACATGTAACTAATGTGTGCAGTTTTGTTTTTAATAAGAATAGTTTTCTTTGTGAGGACCTGCCAAGAAAGATTGTGTCACTGTAGTCTCATAAAGTTTGTGTGTAATAATGTAGCTGTCTCTTGAGTGATGGAAGAAGTGGCTCTTAGAACTGCCAAGTGTATGTAACATATTCGGTCACTCATTGCCATAGGTGTTCAAGTGCCACTTTTTGGTGTTATTATAATTAATAAAAATTTTTCTTTACATCTCAACTGTAACAGAGCTCAGTGTTCATGTTCAGTGTAAATGGTATCTATATTTGTGCTAGCATGTGGTTGACATTACTCTTGGTGAGCTGTTAGTACGACCACAGTGTATCATACAACATAACGACTGCGCTGCAAGTTATTGTGTATACTGCTTTCTCCATTTCTTCAGAGCAACCTTTGTTAAGTCATAGTCAAATAATTGTTTGTGTGCTGTTTGTGACTCACTTGGCATATGTTGAAGCCAGTAAAACACTGTAGTTACATTAGTTTGCTTCTCTAGCTGGGAGTCTCATCTTGTTTAATCGTACTGCCTCCATTTTGAGGAAATAGTTTCTACATCAGGTCGGAAGTAGAAATGCTTTATTTTACAAAAAGATATTCTTCCAGCCAAATGTGATTTTGTGTAATATTCATATATACTTAGTGCTTAATAAATAATCTAATGCTGCGTAGTGATGTACTCAACTGTATTCTTTATAGCCCTTGTGGGAGCAAGTGTATGTTAACGCCTGTTGTATGTTAACCTTAACGTCTGTTGTACTAGCCATGTTGTGTCCATTGTAGTAGGAGTAATGTAGTGAGAAACTTGGAAAAAGGAAATAAAAATGCTTATTTAGTGCACAGTGAACTGGATAGGGCAGTGCAAGAGATGGTGATTGTGTTTTGAGGTATTAAAAAGCACTGTTGTAAAGCTTTTATGCACTCAGACAAAATGGTAACAAAGTGGCACCATTATGTGTCTGTGCATACCTTAGTCATTTTCCTTTCATCTGGGTGCTAATTTCACTGTCAAATAATACTTGACAATACTTAGCATATACTCAGCATTAGTGCCAATATGGTTACTGGTGTTCACAGAGGGATTGCTGAAAAGTGCTGTATACATTGTGCATATATTAACAAAATACCATGAGGCGACTCTGCTTTGCCAATTTTTGCGCCTTGTATGGTTCAAAGCAACATTCGGTGCCAACACAGGATGCCAGCAAGCCCAAAGTGCATTTATTGATGGTGCTTCTGTTTTTTCTATGTATATATACTTTCTTGTATCTATGAGGGAAATATATAAATTGCAATTAAAGAGGATTCTTTTAGAGCTTTCATGGTCGCTTTGGAGTGGCCGTGATATTACTCACACCACACCACCTTGAATCACCACACTGCCTGCTGTCATCATCATCATCATCATCAGTCTGACTACGTCCACTGCAGGACAAAGGCCTCTCCCATGTTCCGCCAGTTAACCCGGTCCTGTGCTTGCTGCTGCCAATTTATACCCGCAAACTTCTTAATCTCATCTACCCACCTAACCTTCTGTCTCCTGCCTTCTCTGGGAATCCAGTTAGTTACCCTTAATGACCAGCAGTTATCCTGTCTACGTGCTACATGCCCGGCCTATGTCCACTTCTTCTTCTTGATTTCAGCTATGATATCCTTAACCCCCGTTTGTTCCCTAATCCACTCTGCTCTCTTCTTGTCTCTTAAGGTTACACCTACCATTTTTCTTTCCATTGCTCGCTGCGTCGTCCTCAATTTATGCTGAACTCTCTTTGTAAGTCTCCAGGTTTCTGCCCCGTAGCTAAGTACCGGCAAGATACAGCTGTTATATACCTTTCTCTTGATGGATAGTGGCAATCTACCTGTCATAATTTGAGAGTGCTTGCCAAATGTGCTCCACCCCATTCTTATTCTTCTAGTTACTTCAATCTCGTTGTTCGGCTCCGTGGTTATTACCTGCCCTAAGTAGACATAGTCTTCTACAACTTGAAGTGCACTATTGCCTTTCTCGAAGCGCTGCTCTTTTCCGAGGTTGTTGTTCATTACTTTCGTTTTCTGCAGATTAATTTTAAGACCCACCTTTCTGCTCTCCTTGTCTAACTCCGTAATCATGAGTTGCAATTCGTCCGCTGAGTTACTCAGCAATGCAATGTCATCGGCAAAGCACAGGTTACTAAGGTACTCTCCATTAACTCTTATTTCTAACTGTTCCCATTCTAGGCTTCTGAAAACCTCCTGTAAGCACGCGGTAAATAGCATTGGGGAGATTGTGCCCCCCTGCCTTATACCCTTCTTGATTGGTATGCTATTGCTTTCTTTATGAAGCACTATGGTAGCAGTTGATCCCCTGTAGATTTCTTCAAGGATGTTTATATATACTTCATCGACGCCCTGATTCTGCAGTGTCTGCATGACGGCTGATATTTCTACCGAATCAAACGCTTTCTCGTAATCTATAAAGGCTATGTATAGTGGTTGGTTATATTCTGAGCATTTCTCTATTACCTGATTGATAGTATGAATGTGGTCGATTGTTGAGTAGCCTGTTCGAAATCCTGCTTTTTCCTTTGGTGGATTGAATTCTAATGTTTTCTTTACTCTGTTAGCAATGACCTTTCTAAATAGCTTGTATACTACAGAGAGCAAGCTGATCGGCCTGTAGTTCTTCAAGTTCTTGTCATCTCCTTTCTTATGTATTAAGATGATGTTAGCGTTCTTCCAAGACTTTGGTACTCTTCCCGTCAGGAGACATCTCATAAACAGGGTGGCTAGTTTTTTTAACACAATCTGCCCTCCATCTTTAAGCAGATCTGATGTTACCGAATCCTCACCAGCAGCTTTGCCTCTTTGCATACTCTCGAAAGCTTTTCTGACTACTTCTATCATTACTGGTGGGGTGTCATCAGGGTTACTGCTAGTTCTTATAGTATTAAAGTCGTGGTTGTCCCGGCTACTGTACAGGTCTCTGTAAAACTCCTCCACTATTTTAACTATCCTATCCATATTGGTAGTTATTTTGCCTTCTGTGTCCCTTAGTGCATACATCTGATTTTTGCCTATCCCAAGTTTTCTCTTCACTGCTTTGATGTTTCCTCCGTTTTTCAGAGCGTGTTCAATTCTTTCTATGTTATACCTTCTTACATCGCATACATTACACCTATTAATCAACTTTGAAAGCTCTGCCAGTTCTATTTTGTCTGTTGTACTTGAGACTTTCATAATTTGACGCTTTTTAATGAAATTTTTCATTTCCTGGGAAATTTTGCCAGTGTCCTGTATAACTACCCTGCCTCCAACTTCCATTGCACACTCCGTAATGATACTAGTCAGATTATCATTCATTGTATCTACGCCAAGTTTGGTTTCCTCACTAAGAGCCGAGTACCGGTTCTGAAGCGAGACTCTGAATTTCTGTCCTTTGCCTCTCAGTGCTAGCTCATTGATTGGCTTCTTGCGTATCAGTTTCTGTCGTCCCTTCTTCAAGTCTAGGCGAATTCGTGATCGTACCATTCTATGGTCACTGCATCGTACCTTGCCAACCACTTCCACACCCTGCACAATGCCTGGGTGTGCACTCATTATTAAGTCTATTTCGTTCTTATTTTCGCCATTAGGGCTCCTCCATGTCCACTTGCGGTTTCCTCGTTTTCGGTAAAAGGTATTCAAAATCTGTAAATTATTGCGTTCTGCGAATTCTGCTAGTAGCTCTCCTCTGGCATTTCTAGTTCCGATGCCATAATCTCCTACTGCCTGGTCTCCAGCCTGCTTCTTCCCTACCTTTGCATTAAAGTCTCCCATCAGTATAGAATACTGTGTTTTTACCTTACTGATTGCCGATTCCACGTCTTCATAGAAGCTTTCAACTGAAGCGTCATAATGGCTAGATGTAGATGCGTAAGCCTGTACCACCTTCATCTTGTATCTTTTGTTCAGTTTAATTACGTTATCTGCTGCCTGCTGTAGTACTCCTTAAAAAAAAATGCTGACCTGCAGCATGCCATTTGAAATACTACAGTCGAATGGCCAGCACAGTTTTCAGATGCGTTTGTCAGGCAACCTGTTTAGTGTCCGACAGTTGTTGTACACTGATGCCAGATTAGTGGCATGTTCTGTCAGGATGACATTTCTTTAATGGTGACATGCTAAACACTATGAATACTTAATTTTAAAGTTTGCACCTGAGTGCTGTTGCCAGTTTTAATGTTTTTTTTTTTTTTCAAGAAAGGTCTAGTGAAGTTGCCAGCCAGGTTGCAAGTTCTTTACCATCACGTAATTTTATTTATGAAAACATATCAGTGATACACTTAGTTGCTGAGAACCTTGGTCATGTTAAGAAAATTTTTAGAGTGAAAATGAGTCTGAGCGCACACGTGCACACAACACGCGCGCGACACATCTCAATGGTATGACTAAGTAGTGGCTTCTAAAGAAAGTGCTCAATTGTCACAATCTGTCAATGCAAGTCCATGGGGTAGAACTTGAAAGCTTAACAAAGAAGCTTAGGAATGCAACGAGCAACAGCATGAAAAATTACGAGCGTATCGAAAACAAGTAGCAATGCAGATGTGGAATAGAGCAAAAGGTTGGTTGTGGCATTCTACTTGAACTGAACAAGAAATGTGTAAACCACGTAATGGAACTAGGATAGCCCATGGAATACAATAGGTGCAAGGTAAGGGAAATTCAATTAAGAACAGCAAAAGATTGGGTAGTGGGTGTCAAGACCTGCAGTAACAGCATGGAGTCTATTGGTGCAAGATGTCGATTGCATGGGGAGGCCTTTGTCTTGCACTGGGTGATTCCACGCCAACCGTCCCAGCCATTTTCGCAACCATCTCAAATGTATTCGAAAAAAATCGTGCTCATTTACGGCATCGAAAATAGTGAACTGCTAGAATATTTTGTAGAAAAAAAAATTGGGCATGTAGCTGCCTTCTGAACTTCCCGGAATGTCTTTGGGTGTTGTTTGCGGAAAAATTTATTTTAGAAGTACCGCACCTTCTTTCTTTACCAAATTTGCTATACTTGTTAAAGGTTCTTTTGTAAGGTGTTTGAAGCTCAGTAGCATTTGTGCAACTTTTCTGGCACATTTGCCTTCACAAATTTAGCCAAAATCGGTTACATTTGCATTTTTTCTATTGCAATACTGCACTTTGTATGACAATCTGAGTAGCGATTGCTTACTCCACAGAAGGTTTCACAACACAGTTTCCACATGTAAACTCTGTGTCGTGCACGCCTACAAACTTATTAGCAGTGTTCGTTGTTCATCCTTGCAATTGTTCGGTGAAAAAAAAAAAAAGTGATGAACATCGGACAGCAAGACGTTCCAATTTATGAATCTTTAGACATCGGTGTACCCTGTAAGGTATAATATGCAATGCTGCACAGGCATCTGAATTATCAGGATTTTCTGAAAGTCTGCTGTTGATTGTGCAGTAGAATTTGATCGATAGAACACTACATAATACTTTTGAACAGTATAATGTGGTGTCAGAGCTGGCGTTGGCGGTCACAAGTGGAAAATCCTGTAGGATTACAGGAATAAAAATTGGGGTTTAAGCTACAACAGAACTTGGGCATTCTGCATAGCATAAAAAGTTCGATAGGAATAACTCGAGGTTCTATATGATGCAAGATGTTTGTTTACATTACTTACAACTGCATTCGAGAGCCGAGAGTCTATGATTGTTCCGTCGTTCCAAAGGTTTCTGCCACCACCTCTTTGGCCACCAAAACACTGCACTGACCACTTTCCCCTTTTTCGTTAATCATGCCGACCGGTCTTGCAAGGGGAAATCTGATTTTACCAATCATCTCATTCCATGAACATACGTACACATGTGTACAATCACCCAACCATTTCAATGGGAAGGCAAGTGTCAGTCAGAGACCAAGCAACAGTTCAGGTGAAAGGGAAAATCTTTAAGTGTTCAACCACAGAGCCATACCAGTGCCCCAAAGTACTTTGGAAATAGACCCTATATAGGCATTTCAGGCAAAGAGCCACGTTAACAGACAATAATGTGCTGTAGAAATATAATGTAACAAGTGGGTGGCTCAAAGCTACCCACCCATACAAAGGGCTCAGCGATAATTTCATCATCATTATCAGTGGCAGCATCAACAAAAGTGTGCAGCTACATGGGTGTGTTCCTTCACAGATGCGTAGGGGGTTATTTCGTACCTGTAATTACAGTAGGCACCTTAGGAGAGTATAACAGCATATATCATGCGCACAGATTCTCCTTTTCTCATGGAACGGTTGAGGCATCCACCATGAAGTGAAGCGTGTGATGTGAATGAAAAGGCAATGTGAATACAGCCCAACTACCCTGTCACGTTCCACATTTAAATGCAAAGGTCAAGCGTCCTGTAATTTTTCATTTCTTCTCCCAGCGAATATCCCAGAGGAGCAATGTATTTTCGTAACAGTTAAGGCAATCACATTTTCAGCTTCATATGGATAATATGACTGCAGAAGTGACTTTTCACTGGTCATTCCAACTACCTAAGAACATGTTGCACAACTGCAGCAGCACAAAGAAATCACCACTGGAAGAGAGTGAAGGGGAACAACTGCATTGTATCGATCCACTATAACATCCATACAAAATTTTGTATGCAGCAGTAAACTTGCTTGACAGAATTTATTTAAGTTTACAAGCAAAGTTTCATTGTGAAAGTACATACTTTTATGCTATAAAAATAAACTTATGAATACAGTGCTTATGAGACAATAATGAATACAGCCACAGAACAGCCTTGGCATTTAACAAAACTTGAAAGAAGTCACTCAAAACTTGCAAAGGTATGTACGTACATATCACAGTCAACATTTTTTTTAACATATAGATCGTCAACTGCACTACGACTCACTGAACAAAAATGCACACAAATGCAAAGGTAACATACGAACTCTGTCTACTAAAACCACACTTTTACAGCTCTACAGTTTGCAAAATGTTTATTCAAATAAATACCGGAAAAATAATGTAATTGCTACAAGCTGATGCACTCCAAGACACTGGCATCATCCTCGGAGCTTCCAGCAGAAACAATTAGAACAAGACAACACAGATCACAAAACAATAGCAGCAGCCCGCATGCTACAGGTGAAACTCGCAAATTATTCAAATAAATGTGTCACGCAAGAAGAGATGACTAATAAGAAACAAGCTTTTCTAGTGGGTGAAAATTTATTCATGAATTAAACCAAATGTGGAGTGTTTGCTAACAGGGCACAAATACTGAGAAACGAATGCACAACAAGAAAAGTGAAATAGGAAGAAAGTGACACTAATAAGGAACTTTCATATTAATCATGCCGACTTAGATTCATATTATCACAGAGGACTTTGAAGAGTCTGGATATGTCTACCTTTCAATATTTTTGTTCACAAATCTGCAGTGCACTAATTAATGCAACCTTGCTTTCTCCACTTCCTCTTTCAAAAAATGACTTCAAGCTTGCAAACATGCAGTACCATCGACACAAGGATAAAGTGTGGTACTATCAACATAAGAGATCTTTTCTTATGTGAAAAATCTACCTATGTGCACACATGTATAAAATGGAAGGAATCAAGCATTGAAAACCCTGTGGCCACCACTGCAGCAGCCGTAAGTGGCAATATCACATGCCGAAGCACTCCTCATGGTGACGGCACAGTTCTCAAAGTCTTTGTTGTTTGTGTGAGACTAACATTTGAGCCTGAAGCAGAATGTTGTTTCTCTGCGCTCAAGTAGCATCGCAATACTCCTCGGGCGGTGGCACTACAGGTATTTTTCCAGGTGTGAAATGTTGAGCCAGAAACTGCTCTTTTTGCTCAGGTGCCAGACTTTCCACAAGTGAGTATGTGTAATAAGCTACTGTGTCTTTCTGGGCCCTGCCTGTGTTCACTGGCCTTGTAATTTGCTGTGTTGAACTTTGCAACTTGGGTTGCAACGTAAAAAGGGAAGCTGCTGTTGTAGAAGCTACCTGTGGCAGGCTAGACGGAGCTGTCAAAAAAGGAAAAAAAAAAAAAAGATTGCATGAACATCCTTAAGCACACTTTGGTGTAAGCCAAGTTTTCAACAAAAGTGGTAACAGAGAACATACAAAATTGCTTTTACAGTTGTGTCGCTTTGTAAACCTCAGTACAGGTAACTTTAAAAACAATAAAAAAGGCACTTCATCAGAAACAGTCCCATAGCGACTGCCTTTGCTGATGCTACTGCTCGTATTTTTTAACTGGATCAAGGCAAAGCCACGTGGCCATATGTATGTCCTCACCCCTTCCCCCCACAACACACACACCCTCCTTTTTGCTTTGCTTGCTGCTCCACGTTCATGTTGCATGCACTGGCTATTTTGTTAAATTCATGTGAAGCAATCAACAGTGTCCACCCCAGGGATGCCTCTCAAGGTCAGGGAGGTATTCTTGCTTTGCATAGTAAAGATTGTACTTGTTCACCAATTTTTAATGAAGGTGCCATCGTGAGCAAACATAAAAGAAACGTACGTGATATTATCGAAGCTGAGGTCATTCAAAGGTTCGGCGATGAATGTGTGAGTTCGGTGTCGATCATGTTATCAAAAAGGGTTGAAATTTTTTTTGCTCTGCCCTTTCAAGATAAGTATATCTACTTTGACATGCCCAATGTTGCAGCTGTTCGTCAGTAACATTTCGGAAAAATTCATCAAATAAACTGTTGCAAGTTCAGCGTTGTGTGCTTTTCCTTCCTTTGTCTCTGTCGATATTTACACTGTGTGTTTAACTAAGCTACATTGCAAAATGTGAAGAGTACCAACAACCATTGTACACGACACTGCTTCACGACTCCACTCGAAAAGTTGAAAAATGGTAATGTGCAGTTTTTTGTACAGATGGCTCAAATAGGACACTATTACTTTCAGCAAGTTCACTTGTTTTGCCTATAAGTATAAAACAACAAAAATAACACATTTAATTGAATAGACCATGAGCTGCAACCTGCTACTGAAAGTCATGGCTCCTTTTTCAAGATATGTTTTTTTTTTTTTTTTTGTGCCCAGTATGCTGTTCACTAAATCAAAATAATCCACCCTGCAATAAGGGGTTCACACATTTTACAACTGAAGCTAGTTACAGTTGCTTCATACAGATGCAGATGGCACCTTTCAAAAAAACTCATCATTTTACTGTAATTCTGAGGCTCCCACTTTTGTCAGGACCAAGGATTTGAAGGCACTGAGCAAACTTTTCGCACTAATATCAAAAAAAGCTGAAACGTTTACCATCTAAGGATCAATTATGTTTACATAAAAGTGTCTAAAATAAAATGAAGTTTGTTTTTGCACTAAACAAGCAAACCACATCAGTGGCTAGTGTCAAGAAATTTGCCCTGTTACCTGTGGAACAAGCAATCCAAAAACTAAGAAAGGCATTACCTGTACTAAAAGATGTTGGTAGACTTGCAGTGGCTTGATCATTACAAAGATTTTTCTAAGAAAATGAAACACACAAATGTAATTAGTTACAGAAGGGGAGGTGTCTAGATGCTACTATAAATATTGTACAGAAATTTTAATTCTGAACCTGAAAATGTCTCTGACACCAGATAGATTACTGTAAAAGCGCCCGTATAGCTCTTTTTTTTTTCTAGATTTTACGGTACGAAATTTCGGCCAAGTACTATATGCGAGTCCCAAGAATTTTCGACCGAAATTCAGTTTTGGTTTCAGCAAAGCGGGTGCTATGATTCAGATGTTTGTGCACTTCTGCGCTAGGAGCTAAGTAGTGTTAGCGGCGGTAGCAGGTGTTAGCCTTACAGACCCACATGTGCAACACTGGTCAGTGGCCCTTGCTTCAACTTGGCACCTATAATGATGGCCACAATTTTGTTTCTGTGATTTTATGTGCCTATAACAATGGCCACAATTTAATTCCTGTGATTTTGTGGCATGTCAGCAGCATGCAGGCAGTACTCGACTGCTTCTAAAAGGAAAGTTATCGCTGCTGCCAAAACCATTAGCAACTGTGCCGCAGAGCGGCAGTTCAGAGTCAACGAGCGGAGTATTCACGGTTGGAAGATGCAGGACGCCCTCTTTGTTTGCAGTGGCCAGCGAAAAAGTTTCCACGGACCAAAAAATGGAGCGTTTCGTGACGTGGAACGAGAACTTGCAGACTTTGCGCGGGAGCAGCGAGCTGCACATCTTGCTGTTAGCATCGAGCTGCTACAAGTGAAGGCAAGGGAGATCGTCCGAGACAAAAGCCGGAGGATTTCAAAGCGAGCAAGCATGGGTGTCTTTCTTCCTGTGCTGCGCTGGGTTCTCTCTCCGTCAACATATGTCGATCTCACAGAAGTTATTGAAGAGCTACGAAGAGGACCTTGTGAAGTTTCAAAAGTATGTAATAGCATTGCGAAAGGCTGTCCCCCTTTCAGCTGGGTCAGATCGGCAATGGGGATCAAACGCCGGTCTACCTGGATATGCCCTCGGCGCTGATGGTGCATCAGAAAGGCTCCAGGCAAGCTATCATGCTATCGACTGTGAAAGAAAAAACGCGGGTGACTGTAATGTTGTCCTGCACTGCAGACGGTCAAAGGAAAGACGCTGCTGAAGGGGGAGAAGTTCCCATAAAATATCGCCGTCCGCTGCCTAGTGCTTAACTGGATAAAGCACGTGTGGTGTCAATGGCCCGGAGCATTGCTGGAACTCCCTTCAATGCTTGTGCTCGACGGGTTTCGGTGTCACCTGACCGACTCTGTAAAGCGACTGCTGCATGACTCTTGGGGACGATATCACAGCTGCAGCCGTTTGATGTGTGCATTAATAAACCATTTAAAGACCATGTCAAGCGCCTGTACGCGGAGTGAATGAGGTCCGGAGAACCAGAAATGACCCCTGCTGGACGGCTGAAACGGGCCTCACCAGCAATGCTGTGCTCGGGGATAGTTGAGGCTTGGGCCTGCGTTCCTGAATCGCTCGTTTGTTGCGCGTTGAAAAAGTGCTCCATCTTGAACACGCTTGATGGCACTGAGGATGATGTGCGTCCAACGACGGCAATGAATGAAGTGTGTCAATAAATGCATTTTTCCATTTTACTCGGGCTATATTTGGGTGAAAACTTTTTTTCTTGCATTTGCTATCCTCAAATTACACCCTGAACTATATTCGGGTCCTAGCTATATGCAAGCTTTTACGGTATTAGGTTCAGCAGTTGCAGTCAAGACATGGAAGTGAACAAGGTAAGACAAGACAAAACTGTAGTGGCTAGGCAAGCAACATGCCGAGGAGATGTGATGGAATAGAGATATTTGATTGATAGTTAAAATAGTGCACTATTTGGTCTTTGACTGAAAGAGCCACCATGCGAAAATAAGAATATTTTCTAATAGTTTATAAATATTCAAAAATGTAAAATGCACTCAAATTAACATAATTTTAGAGCAAAAGTATAGGTCAGGTTACATCCACCACAATCTAAGTATATAGGCATATAAACATTCACTTCGCGCAGTAGGCTGGGGTGCTCTCGGAGAGCCACACTTCACTGACTAGGTCATACACACCTTCTGAAGAGTTATGTGCATGCAAAGAACATGCTTATTTGTTATGTCCATCCATGGTAATAGTGTAAAAATTATTAATACTATAGTGCAAACATCATTTTATATAATTATTGTATAAATGGCTGCTCAATATAAAAAAAATATATTCCGATTTGCTTCCGACACATTTTTATTTGCACATGATTCGATACTCCAAAAACTCAGGTCACCCATTCGATCTCGGAAATTATGTCGCTCATTTTGAGAACTTTCGTCTTAAAGCGACACTGACATGAAAAAGTTTTTGTATTAGTAAACTGCCGTTTCTAATACCAACAGCACCAGTTTGCTATGAGAAGACGCTTCGTGGGAGACAAAATGCAGAAAAAAGAAAATGCAAAAGGTGACATCACAAATTTGGACAGTCTATTATATCCCACATAGTCCTTAATTCCCCCTCCCCCAAAAAAAGAGAGAGAGAAGTACATTGTTGTCTAAGGTGTCCAAAGACTTAATATACTAAGTTTCAAGAAATTTGATGAAGTGGTACACAAAGAACACATTCATGCTCACATAAAGACACTAACGCCAGTGGTGGCATTTGTGTCTTTATGCTTGTGTGGATGTGTCTTTTGTGCACTGCTACATAAAATTATGGCTCAACAGCTAGCCTATTAAGTATGTATCAGGAAATCTTGTTGAGACAATGTGGCGAAAGCCATTAAAAAAAAAAGAAAACTGAGACCAGTGACGCCATGCTGACATTAATGTGCAGAGCTTCTGGTTCAAAATTTTGACAATAAAGCTGCGACCTTAATTTTCACTTCCAAGAAAGTGAAATTAACAGCAGAGTTTTCACAGAATAATTGATCCATCTACACTGATTCATCGTTTCATGTGAGTGTCTCTTTAATAGTAGCTTAACGCTTTGTATAGTAAATTGCTTCTGTTTACAATTTCATATTTATTAATGTTAAAATTAATTAGCAAGTTTAGTTATGAGCTTGATTAGTAGGAATGTTTATGTCCTAAATGTCTGCCAAGAAACATAATATATATAAAAGCAGCCTATGAGTAAATTGCAGTTTTCTCATACAAATGGCAAAATATCAATGCTGAAGGCATTGTACGGACACTGCATTACATCACCATTAACCATAACCCCCAAAACATGTCGGCTGAGTAACATGACAGGTTGCTAAGAAATACATCAGCAATAGTGTGAAAAATGGTAAGAGCAATGTCAGGAGTTAGATATCAAATGAAATAAAAGGCTACTAGGTAATATCCTAGAATGAATGTCGAGGAATAAAAAATGCTAAGGGAAAGGAGAAGACAAAATTAAAGGGGCCCTGAAACACCCTTTTCAATGGATTGTAGAATGTAGAGCTGTATGAATTGCATAATATTGGGTGCGAAGCGAATTCTAACAATTGAACCCCTTTACAACGAGCGACGTGCACTGGGAAGAAATTCTTGACTTTTATATGAGGTCTCTCTTATAAGCAGGGTACCATGTCTGCATTTTTTTTATCAACCTCTATTTTTATGTAGGCTCACTAATGTCTTTAATAGCCATTTGTCTCTTAAATCAGTGTGTCTTATAAATGGGTTTGACCATACTAAAGAGTGAGTGCAAATCGAATATTTTAGAATATTTCTAGAATATGTTTCTATTCGTTCGAAGCAAAATTGCATGAAAAAAATGTTGCCAAGTATTCCCAAGTATATTTCTAAACATGAAGTGTTTCTTCTCACTGGGCTAATACAGCACTGCTGGGGTGGTATTTCATAGTTGTCTTATCAAGAATGAGGCAATGCACAGGCCAAATGGTATTAGTATGTGATTTGGTGCAACCGAAGTATTGCGGAAAATACTTTACACATGAAATGTACAGATGCTATTCCCTCAGCCTCTCCTCCTCTTTGAACTTCTGTGAAATAACAACCGATGTGGCAGACAAGGTCGTGCTCCCTTCAAGTTGCGAGTTCCAAATTTGCCTTGTAGACATCAACATATAAGAACACTGGAAATTTTAGATGATCAAAATTTAGCGTCAACTTTTTGGGCCTCCTGCCTGAATTTCTGGTCTAGAACAGCGTAATTAAGTGCCCCACCTCTGCCACACCCATGATCTCCATGTTGGAACCATTGTTTTCTTGAGTCAATTCATTTGAGACTGTAGCAATGCTTGAAAAGAAGCTTTGCCACAATACTGGAGTATAACGAGGTGAAGCATTGGAAAAAATCTCAAGGGGCTATTTTTAAGTATTTGTCTCGGAAAAATTGAACCACAACAGAGCCTGAAAGATAGCTTTGCTGCAACATGAAAATCTGATGAGATTACCTTACCTTTGCCTAAAGTGACTTATACTTAAAATGTTTCGAAAATATATTTAAAATATAATTTAAATAATGAGCAAATTTATTAAGCTTCCACTAATTATAGCTTCTTGGCAAAATGATTTCTGGGATGTGCCAAAACCATGATATGATTATGAGGCACATCACAGTGGAGGGCTCCGATAATTTCAACTACCTGGGGTTCCTGTGCATAATGCCTTAACATCAGTACACAGGTCTCCAGAATTACATCCCCATCAAAATGAGACTGCCGTAGTGGGGAAGGAGCCCACAGCTACTTTTTTGCCTGCTAGCATTGAAACATCTACCAACTCTTCCCTCCACTATGGCCTCTACAATAGCCTATCTTTACTATGATTCAAAGTTGGGCGAGTCGGTGCGGATTTGTTGTTGGGAAATGCATGGAAAGACGGTCACAAAAGTAAGGTGATAAACACAGGATGACAGGAGGAACTAACTGGAGTAGTTAGTAGCACACCGTCCTGTGTTTATCACTCTCTTTTGTGACCATCTTCCCATGCATTTCCAAGCAATCTATCATAGCCTAAGTTGCCTTGGAATGTTGAAACCCATAAAACCAAACAAAATCTAAATATTAAGCAGACAACTGTCTATGGAAGCTTAAAGGTACTCTTCATCTTTTCTTGAAATTGCAGAAATGCATAACTTAGGCCAATATGCTGCAATGACAGTATTACTGAGAATGTTGTCACAAGCAAGAATTCAGTCAATATTATTCAGAGAAACAATCACCAACTTACAGTATCGTCAAACATGATACTGTAAAGAAGGAAGGAAGTGAGTTTCTGCTGTTTTTGACAAGGGTCTGTATCCCTGGTGCATGCAGTGCATCTGTATTTGGCTCACATCAGCCTCACATACAGAATGGCAATAATCTTTCAATTGAAACTGTTTCATGGCTTTTTAAAGAAATTTGCGGACATAAAATGCATTCAGTTCATGTGACACAGGATTAAACTTTAGTTTTTTGGAGGCATCATATCAGTAGTCAACTTAATTATGTCAATAGTCTCGGGCCCTTTTTAGGATGCAATGACTACAACACTTACCAAACAATTCCTTACATCTGGAGGCATTAACAGCAAGTGCTGAATATTTTGCTGCACATTTATGGTGGTTTGTTTAACACAATTGACCTGAAAAAAAAAAGGGGGGGGGGCAAATTCAAAACAAATGCTACCAAATACATGGCTTTCCTTTAAAATCTCCGTGAGCTCCCGCTTATGAATTACGCCCACAAGCCCAAACATTGGTTAGATTACACTTACATAATCTCCAACTGCTCCTGCTTGCAAAGCATTGTAGAAGTTCAGTCGCAACTCCTCCATTGACATGTCACAAAATCCTGGGTATGATGCTGAATTTCCAAATGGCCCATAGCATGTGAATAGCCATTGCCCACTTGCCTGCCACTGCTTCATGTCAGATACAACAGCAACTTCATAACTGGGAAAAAAAAGAAAAGCAAACTGAAGAGGCTGCAGCCCAAACACATCACTTTACGTACAAGAGATACGGACTATTACAGATATTTAAGATAAAGTATTAAGTACCAATGAAGAGGCAATAATAATAAAATCTAACTGACAATCATGTCAAGTAAAGTACAAGGGATGTTGTTAGAAGTAATTGTAATATAAAATGTGAAGAAAGAAAAGTGGACGAAAAGATAATTTGCCGTGGGCAGGTACCAAACCTGCGACCTTGGTATAATGCGTTCTATGCTCTACCAACTGAGCTACTACAATGGCTATCCCCCCCATTCACTTTATGGGAGATATATGTGCATTAAACATGGGAGCGTCAGTCAGCGCCAGTCAGATGGTAGAGCATCGAACGCATTATTTGAAAGTGAACAGGTTCAATCCTTGCCAACGGCAAGTTTTCTTTTTGTCTATTTTTATTTCTTCGCATTTTTTTTTCCCATTACATTACAATTACAATACAATTATTTCTAACAATATTCCCTATGCTTTCCTTGGCATGACTGTCTATTACATCTCATTAATTTAGCATCTAACAAAGAAAACGAGCCCTTAAGTATGCACTTTACTTCAATCATAGCGAGGGTCTCTTTCTGGCAGACTTGGTACCTCTAGGTGGTATACGAGGGATTATTGGTCAGCTGCCAGGTTGTAATGAGATCACGTGCTATGTGATGCCTAACGGACAGAAAAAAAGTGTTCCACACTTGCCGTCATGGCTACAACCAGCACTGATCGACACTTCCATATTAAATGCACATATATACCCCATAAAGTGGACGGAGGGATAGCCACCATGGTAGCTCAGTCGGTAGAGCACAACACATTATCCGAAGGTCACAGGTTTGGTCCCTGCCCAGGGCAAGTTATCTTTTCACCCACTTTTCTTTCTTAACATTTACATTACAATTACTTCTAACAACATCCCACATACTTTCCTAGGCATGATTGGCTTTTAGATCTCATTAATACTGCATCTACCAAAGAAAATTAGCCTTTAAATTTACAACTGTGCAGAGTACAAAGTATCAAAAAAATGTTTTCATACATTCAAGATACTTAAAAAATAGATAACTGTGCCAAACATGACCAAGACTACGCCAGTACAGTGCTTTGAGACTCAAAATACAGAATTGAACTACCAAGACTGATTGCTCGCTCTGAGAGAGAAATAAAACTAAGTATTTCGATTAGATAAACTGCTCCCCCCCCCCCTTTTTTTTTAAGGATATCGTTGCCTACACTGCAGTTCCCTCTGGGGCTTATCACTGTTAAGGTTGGAAAAACAAAAACTGAAATGATGGAGTACTTTAATGCCGACTTCACATCTTAGTCTACACTGCTGTGCCCGAACTAGGAGAATAGTTGTTGCACAGGCACACTTTCTCTCTTGTCTCCTAGTCAGACATAGAATGGAAGTTCTCATTGCGAGCGAGGCTGTTGCTTTTTTTTATTCACTTAATGCAAAGCAAGTCGACTACCAAATGAAGTTTGCAGCCATGCATAAAAGAAGTCATACCAAGACAGTAGCGTGATGCCTAAGTGATTGTTCTTCAAATGCTTGCACACACCTCAAGTATCAAGAGAATGCATCTGCATTCAGCCAAGTCTGGCTGAAATAACTTGAGTGGTTTAAAGGGACACTAAAGTCAAATAATTTATATGAGAATGAAAGCTCAATGTATGGCAACGTCTAAAACAACAATATTGTCAATAGCAGTGTCCTGCTTACCGAGAAATTAAGGTAAATGCACGAGAACACATGCGCCACAGTAGGACACTCTCAAAATTATCCCAATGACGCCACAGTTAAAGCCTACAATTAAGCACTAGTAATCAAACTAGCTACACTATATAAAGAACCTTCCGTGCACCAAGATATGTAATCGAATGTGGGACCTCCGCATCGTGAATGCGAGGTGCTACACCACTGACCCATCGAGAGGTACCTCCTTGAACGTTCAAATGGCGAGCTATTTATATTTACCACTTAACACAGTTGGCGCACATCTGGGGGGGGGGGGGGGGGGGAACTGTCGTGTTTTTAGTATTATCGGCAAGATGGCACAGTGAGTGCGCGGCTGCTCTCATCTCTCAGGCCTATACTTTGGCCCAGGTAGAGAATAAGGGGGTGTACGTTCTATCACGCACCCTTATCTTGCAGTGGGGAGAATCGTACGTTTTGGCTAGCCTTTGAGTTCCATCGGAACAATTCTGTTGAATTTACTGTGCGCACAAAGGTCACTGCAATCGTTGCATATCCTCCGTTTGCGAAAAGGGTGCGCTTTTCAGACACAGCGAAGCAACAACTGAGACGCTTATTTGCGTTTATCTGTACCTGTGAGTACGTTTCGTGCGTCCTTTGTGCGTGAGAAATGCGGGGCACGTTTCGATCTGCTTGCCATTCTGCGCGTGACCTTCCAATTTGTTGCTATCGAGCTGTGACTTTTTAAATGCAAGAATAACTTCTATGATTTCCCTGGTTTTATCCTATGTTGTGGACCCTTAGTTCTGACTTCTCAGTTTCTTTTCTTGTTTCGTACTAAGCACCGTTTTCACAAAGTAATAGAAGATGTTTGAAAGCGATAGTAACAACATTGAGCAATGTGTCCTGGAGTAACGCAGGCATAGCAAATGGGGCGATAGTCTGAAGTCCGCCAAAATTTTCCGACTTTCATCTCGGCCGAGCATGTAGGAAAAAGGGCGGACTCGTAGGCACATGGCTGCATGGGTGGGAAAGGCTGCTGAGGAGACCTGCAAACCATCTTGGCATACGTAAGAGGCGCGGTCACAGGCTGCTAGTGGCGAGCAACAAGAACAGCTTGAGCGACCTCTTCAGTAATTACAGAGCGGAGCGTTGGTGGCAGTTAAAGAGGACGGCTCCTGTGTAAAGGAAGACCACAGAAAGTTGACGAGCAAGTTCTTCGCGCACGAAGTCCTTGATCTCCTAAAGTGCGGCGATTGTTCGGGAACAGTAGCAAGACGTGATGGAGAGTCAGCGCCCGATGAGAACATCAGAGTCAGGGTGCGCTGCTTCCTGAGCTCGTCATAGCTTTGACATGAAGTGATGACTTCTGCAACGATGCCAGGAGTCCTGGCGAGGAGCACCTGAAACGCACCATCATCAATCCCTCCGAGGATGTGCTGAATCTTGTCAGACTTGGGCACAGTTACAAAAATTAACAATGTCTTCAATGTAACTCGTGAATGTTTCAGATGTTTGCTGTGCTGAAGTCAAGATGTTTGCTGTCCTCAAACAGTGGGTCGGCCGGACACTTCAGCGAAATGACTATGTTGAGATGTTGCTTTTGTGGTTGTGATACCACAGTTCAACAATGCCAGTAAGATGAAAGATGAAATGAGTCAAGTTGACAGCATCATCCCATTCGTTAAGAGCGCTCACCAATTAGTAGTTGGTAAACCAGTCATTCACGTCCGTCTCATCAGCACCACTGAAGACCTTTGAATCCTTCAGGTGAGAGATTCTGGGGTTGCTACTGGAGTGGACAGAAAGATTGCACTTTGTTGGTTGTCATGATGGGTGGAAGTGTTCAGTCTCAGGCTCCAGGTTCAGTTGACATGAGAAAGATTGCACTTTGTTGGTTGTCATGATGGGTGGAAGTGTTCAGTCCCAGAGCTCCAGGTTCAGTTGATTGATTGATATGTGGGGTTTAACGTCCCAAAACCACTACATGATTATGAGAGACGCCGTAGTGGAGGGCTCCGGAAATTTAGACCACCTGAGGTTCTTTAACGTGCACCCAAATCTGAGCACACGGGCCTACAACATTTCCGCCTCCATCGGAAATGCAGCCGCCGCAGCCGGGATTCGAACCCGCGCCCTGCGGGTCAGCAGCCGAGTACCTTAGCCACTAGACCACCGCGGCGGGGCCAGGTTCAGTTGACATAAGATCTTCAGCACCCTCCAGCAAGTGAGAAGAGGTTTATTGGATGTATGTTTCTGTGCTAAATCTATGAACACAAGACAGCAAGTCAGAGCAGAGCATGATTTAGAGAGATGCCTGCAACAAACAGCATGCAACGCGCAAGCCCAGCACCCCAGCTTAGGTGATGCTGCTCACCATACACGTGTCTCCTTTTTCCCGGTACCTATGAAATATGACAATACTCACAAAAGCAAATTAAACACCATCTCTTCAGTTTAGTATTTCAAATACATATAGTCACAGGATCTGCTAAAATTCTTAACAGAAGCTGACTTTAGCTGACATTAATAATAAATATAGGTTATGCACCAACTTGCATAATCTATCTATAACACAGCAGCAATATGAACATAAAAGCCACACCATTGCATCAAATGAGGAAGGAGCAGGTCAACTTACAACTATAAGGGTGTTTTACAACAGGAATGCAAGCAGATGGCTCTCTTTCTCCTAGAGCACTGGCCACTTTCATAAATATGTCAGCAAAAAGGCTAGACCACTAGATGCTAGCCATCATATATTGCTGCAATGATAAGGTTAAGACGAACTGAGGTTTGGCAGTACTTTTGCTGGGGCAAGTTGATGCGACATTTGTAAAATAAATCAGCACGAAACATGGGACAAAAGACCCAGAACAACAGGACATTTGCTGGTCCTGTTGTATGGCGTCTTTCGTCCAGTCTTTTGTGCCGATTTATTTTGCAATTGAGGTTTGCAGATGCCTTCACTTAGGAATGCATAAGGTGGCACGATTAAGGCCCGGGCACAAAACGAGGCACATTTCGACCCACGAAATGCAGCACTTCGTTCGTTTCATTGTTCCTTTTTCTGTCCATGTCTTAAAACACACCACTTTATGCATTCCAATGGCAAACACACATGCCCAAATCGACACCTCAGTCGTCCCTTACTTGATTATGTCACTGCAGTTATGTCACTGCTTTAACAACACAAAGCACCGTAGAATAAAATTTACTAGCCATTTTCTCACCTGCACAGATCACTTAAGTTGTTTTCGGCCTTGGTCACCTCCTGGAGCGTTTTATTGAAGTCAAACTTCAGTGCCGCAGCTTTCTGGCTGTTTTCACTTCTTTCAGCACTCCGAAACAACGGAAACCGTTGTTGGTCGCGTTGGCCGGAATCGATGTGCCGATGAATGTTCCTTTCCGTGTCTCGAAGGGCTTGAAACCTATTATGCTGTTGCGGTTGGTAGCTGTAGCGATCACCGCCAGAGTACCGGTTCGTCTGCGGCGAGTGATACGTATCGCCGTATCTCCTTTGGAAACTTTCGTTGCGGTAATGCTTGGTCTGCTCCTGCCGCAGCACATTGTCAAGAGTGCCGTTAAAATCGAAGTCTGTCGCTCTTTTACCGCTCGAAAGGCCTAGGAAAAGAAGACGATGGTAAGGACGGTAGTGACATGGCACTTGAAATTATAACACACTGCACAGCACAACAATCGACACATACACAACGAATTCACACATATTCAAACAGCAAAACTCTTACGAGATTCTTCATATTCGTCGTCGAAGTAATCCTCTGATACAGGATGCACGTTGCGGCAGCGTTCGCCATAGCGGCACCTTCCTTGCATATAGTACCAGCAGACTTTCAACCCTGAACCCCTCCGTGACATGGTTGAAACTTTCTGCGAATCAAGTTTAATTCTGACACCTGACACGTCGAGCCAAGAGCAGTACTGACATTAGAGCATGAGAGCACAGTCTTTTTTTTTTTTTTTTTTAGCTTACCTACGGCGTGATTGTTGTTGGCATAGCCTCCTATATACTTTCTGTGCCCGCTCGATCCCCGCGCTTTCCATTCTATTGCACCGTCGCGTCTAGTTCGATACAAGCCGACAGGGGGCGCCGGCAGCCCTGGGGAGTGCAGACGACGCGTAGTTTTTCTGCTTACTCAGTGAGCATCCCAGAAAGCATAAATATCTTCGACGCAAATGTAAAAATGCACTATTATATTCATCCTGGACCACTTTACCATCGTCAGCAAGCATTACCGTGAGTAGAAATGCATCATACAAGTAAACATAAGCGTATGAATGCGGATTGCGTATCACGTTGTCTGTGCACGCGCTGCGTCGTGTTCACGATAAACTGATGCGCTAAACTCATACTTGTCCCCAAGGATATTAGTCCCCGGTACCCTAGAGCTTCATAGGTGAATCCACAATACTTGTAGCTGCCTCGCCGCTTTAAAAAAAATATAAGAAAGCGACATAACAGCACCACATGATAACTCCTTACTTTTGCGGCATTACGTTGTGAAGCACTACGCTGCGGGTTGGTTTCGCAGCCTCAAAGTCGCATTTTGACGAATATGAAATGCACATATGCTGCGTACGTGTGCGCTAAAACATAGCCTTTTTCTCGCCGGCAGGTTTCTTGCCAGCGCGCAGTCTTGACGGCCACGGTGAAGAGTCGCATCTGATCAAAATTAATCCATAGTCCTATATTACGGCATGCCTCGCATCTTCATTGAGGTTTTGCAGTAAAACCCGAAACTCAAGTGACAACGCTTGTTACTTTGTTCTGGACATCAACTTTTATTTTGTTGGTATTCTGCGAAGATGCATATGGTGCATAGGAAATTCCTAACATCAAGGAAAGAAAAATAGTACAGTCAGTCAGGCAGCCGCAAAAACACAATTCACAGTTTTAGAACTATTCTCGACAAGGGCCTGTGGTGAAGTGCTTTCCTCACATCGTGTTTGTCAGTCACGCCCAGGGCATAGTTCGTGAACACAGGCTTGCAAAATTTCGTGCAAACAAGCTCCAGAAACTGCAAGCGGTGCTCAATGCAAACATGCTTAAAAACTTCACTGTTTGCCATAGCAGAAACAGCATTGCTGACTGTTTCCTGCAGAGGCCTTGGTATTGCTCTGCGCTTGCTTAAGATAAGTTCAGTGTACTTTTTTAGCGCGTACAAAACATGAACAAGCTCACTTGAGGGGTACAGTAGCCCACCTCTGTCTTGGTGCCTAATCAGACTGTCAATAGGGGCTGAGGACGCTGGCTTTGTGACAACTGAAATGCAGGAGCTTCAAGCAATCTTTTCTTGTATGACACGGGCCACGAAGCCTCCCACCATAGCAAGTGCTGCTGTGTCCACAGTCGGAAGCAAGCTTGCGGGACTTCTTAGGAGGTCGTCAAGAAGCTTCCTAGCTTCTACTGGAAACTGACTTGCTTGAACTTCTTTCTGTTTGCTTGTAACTTTAAGTGCATCTGAGCCATGGCTTGATGAATCCACTACGTTACTGGTCTTTGAAGCAGAAATTAGGCCAGTTTTTAAGGCCTTTTCAACACCAGACAAAACAGACCGAACGTCAGTCTGATCATTACTTCCTGCTGACCTTCTTATCCATCCGAAAAAGGATTCAATCGGGTCAGACGAGAATTTCCTCGTCAGCACAAACTTGAAGGAGAGTACATCTAGTAGGTATTTGGTGCACTCAACATTAGACATCGTAGTCAGCATAAGTGCATGATACGTTTCCTTAGTGAGGAACTGCTTTGGCTGGCAGTCACGTCTCAAATCTTCAAGGTATTCGAGGAAAGATGACATGAGCCACACAAGGCGCTCATAAGAAGCAGACTCGTACTGCTTGCAGTCTGGCATATTCTTGTGTATGTGTTGGACACAGTTACTCACGTCCATTAAGACAAACCATCGATGCACTGTGTCCATGAACTCAATTGTTGGGCCTGCATCAGCAAAGGTGATGTCAGACGTGTGTCCAGCTTGCTCCTTCAACAGTTTCAACGCTGCTGTAACTGCCGGAGAGAAAAGCTGAACAGCTTTGTGGACGTTCATGGCTTTAATACTTGATGGAAATACATGCTTCCGTGTGAGGAATCGTACAGGTTTGCTTACACTCCCCTGTTGCATCTTGTACAGGCTCTTCACATGAGAGGATGTAACTTCACCGTTTTTTTTTTCGTGTCTCGGGCCAGGAACTGCGACCTGATATTCTTTATCAGATGGCATTGATCAAAGGCGATGAACAACTTTCGGTAGGGATCTTCGGGATGCTTTATAGAATGCTGCAGTTTGCCACTGCAAAGCATTTCCAAAGCAAGGACATTAATTTTGTGATTGTCCGTCACGATGCGCATTACAATGAAGCCAGCTGTCTCCACTCCTTTTAGCACATATTTCATCAGCATGAACAGTTGCTGTCCAGTGCAGTTCTTGGTGAAAAAATACCCCACGGGTATTCGAATGCGCACAGAGAGCCCTGACAAAATAAAACACAACAGTGAATTTGCTAGGACTGGTTCCCCTTTTGTTGGTGTTCCACAATCCTTACCAAAGTCCACGTCTCCAACGAAGGCATCTCTCTGCTTGTTGTATTGCAGGCGTTGCCGTATTCTCATTTCGTCAACAACCAGAGAACACACTTTCGCTTGCTGGGGGCTCAGATTTTCTAGTTCCGCTTTCAGACGCTCTTTCACGAGACTTGTAAATCCCACTTCGCCAGTAGTCACGCCCAGAAACCTCTGTAACGTGGCCCTGCTTGGAAGCTTCAAGAGATTTTCCCTTCTTATAAATTCATAGGCCTTTGTTGACAAGTTTCTCAACACAATGTAATTACGAATAGTAACCTCGGAGTAAGTAGGTCTGATTTTGGCGAAATCGTTCACCTGGTCAACGAGGATGCAGGCCCCCACGTGCTTTTCTCGCGCAGCTTCAACTACCTTGGCAAAAGCAGTCAAATTGCAATCTTCTTTTAATTGCTTCAGTTCTTCTTTATATTTGTCAATTGTTTGACGAAGCCGTTGTATTTGCGTCTTTAAATCGCGCTCCTTTCGTCTGAATATCTGACGTTCTAAAACAGAAATACTACTGCGAACATCTACCTGGGTGGCTTCGTGCTTTGAGGTAGGTTCAGAAGGAGCATCCACCTCAACTTGTAGTGGTACGGTGAAGCACGGGACTTTTGCGAGACCCGGAGAGCTAAAACTTGAGGTAAGTCCATCCGCAGGCACGGTGTCTTCATCGGCTCCAACAAAAAGGCCTGTTGCAGTCCCTGTCTCGAGAGGCCACGCAGCAGCGTTGTCAGGAGCAAGCGCTCGTTTCCTCGCAGACGGATCACTCCGCGGTTTCTTCGGCTTCGGCTGCATGTACTCCGGGTAGTCGTCGAACACGCTGGGAGTTGCACTCCTCTTGAGTTTTCGAGTTTTACATCCTTCTTTGTAGTCCGTCAGGAGAAAATGTCGGCTGCACACAACGGAGTAGCGTGATGTCGTGTTCGGCATCCAGTCTTTCCTAGCGATGGCTTTCAACCAGGCTGTCCTCGCTTCACTGTCACTAAAAATTTCATGAAACGAAATCCCCGGTACCTTACGTTTCGCATCAGATTTGCACTTTGGAACACAGCTGTAGGCCATTGAATCATCAGAACACGCACAAGTTCTTCAATCGCGGGAACACAACGCGCACATCGACTGGGGCCTGCGGCGATCCAAAGCGAACTGCCTTCACGCTCCCCAGGGCTGGTGGCGCCATCTCTTGGGGAACGGCGTCAGCCAGTGGGAAAGCGCGGACGGAGGCTCTGCCTCCTTCGAGCGGGACAGAAAATATAGGAGGCTATGGTTGTTAAGGTTTGGTGGTTGCCAGACTAGAAGGATCAGTGTTGCCAAACTGCCGGTAAATTTGAGTGCAATTTTTTTTTGTAGTTGCGGTTTTTCTGTGAGAATTTTGTGCCATCCGCGGTGCATTGCGCAAACGAGCGACGCTGGCCGTTTTAATTAACGGAATGAACCACGCATTACAGAATTCGCTTTATTTACGAAATGAACCGCGCCTAGCAGAAGTCGAGCGCGGCGCTGCTGTGCAATTAAGAGGTTGTTTTAATTAACGGAATGAACCGCGCCTAGCAGAAGTCGAGGCGCGTTCTCTTGCTGTGTGCGCAGCTGTGCGATTAAAATATCGCGTCTTAGTATTAGGGATGACGGGAAATAAAACGAATTCTGTAACGCGCGGTTCATTCCGTTAAAACGAATTCGACTTCTGCTAGGCGCGGTTCATTTCGTTAATTAAATTGGCCTCCTAATTGCACGGCAACGCCATACTCAACTTCTGCTAGGCTTGCTTCATTCCGTTAATTAAAACGAATTTTTATATGTGCGGTTCATTCAGTTCATTAAAACGCAATTAAAACGAATTTTTAATTGCGCGGCAGCACCACGCTCGACTTCTGCGAGGCTCGGTTCATTCCGTTAATTAAAACGGCCAGCGTCGCTCATGCACTCGCGAAATGCACCGCGGATGGCACCAAACTCTTACAAAAAAGCCACAACTACAAAAAAATTTTTTTAGCCAAATTTAGCGGCAGTTTGGCAACAACCATTCCAAAATCTGGCAACTGATTTATGCAACGCCAATAGGAGCCAGGTTAAAAAGGATTGGAGAGAGCACTGACCCTTGAGGTGTTCCGAAGCTGCCTAGTGTTTAGGGTGAGGAATGTTCTTGTCCTAATGTTAATGTAGCTGTGCGGTCTGTGAGGAAGCTTTTGATGTAAGAGTAGATTTTAGCGCCACAAGAAATGCAGTTGAGGCTAGCATATATAGCTGAATGATTCGAGGAGCTCTTGTGAAAAGTGAACACCTTTATAAGCATGCTTAGGGTTCTCCTTCAGGGGGATGAAACGAAGGTTCATCGCAGCAAACCCCCCCCCCCTCCATATCATGTGAATGTATAGGATAGGTTTGACATTGTGCCCCCCCTGACACCCCCCCTGTGCGCAGGCAAATGAACACCTTACAATAATTAGCTTAC